AAAAAAAAAAAAAAACAACAAACTTGCAAACCAAAGCATTATAGCTAGAGATGAATGAAATTTCTTGATGAATACAAAATTGATTGAAAAATGAAATCTTGGACTTACTAAAACCCTTTGCAAACTCCGATCAGCTTCAGTGAGTAGCTTTGTTCCCAAACTGGGTGAGTGAACTACTTTCCTTTGAAGTGGAAATAAGTAAATAAATAAAAGTTTTAATTTCTTAAACCAGCATTACTTTTTTGAAAGATAATTTCAGGTTTTAAAAGGGGAGATCTCTTGAAGCCAAAATGGAAATACAGTCCTCTTGAACACACAAGGACAAAACAAAGCATTTCACATTATCCTGAAGGAAAACATCCTTATCCATGCTGCTCCAGCTCTGCTGTACTCTCCAGGAGCACTCATAACATCAGCTATATCATTAAACAAACAGTGCAATTATTCAAGAACTTCCACACACAGATGTGTTTTCTCCTTTCCTTACAATTTTTGGCTCCTAAACGTGTACGGATGTAGTCTTGACTCTCGTTGAACTTTGGAAAAGAAATTCATTCCATGTAAAAATCCATTTAGTGCAAATCGTCCTAATGAATCTCCATGGATGCAATATGGAGATGTTTTATGATTTTTTTTTATGATTCAATTCATTATCATAAGTTGGAAAAAATGAAACTTCCACACCAGCTGGGTCAGTATTTTGAACATCTGGATGACAATAAACAGAAAATTAAATCACTAAGAACTTTTATCTAGGTAGAATATAAAGGCAATCTATCTTGACCTGCAATAAATAGCACATTTTATTTCCCATTTTCCATTTTATTTCTTTTTTGACAATCACTTTAGAAATTTCAGCTGCCAAATGTTCCTGCAATTATTAAGAACACCGTAATAAAAAATGTAATTCTGGGAAGAATATGTGATAATAATATTCAATAATTTCATTTGGTTCTTGTTTTAAGTGCAAACAGCTCCCCATGTTAAGCACGAACCACTTGACAAACTTCAATAATGCAGGCATCATTATATCACAATGCACTTTGGAAAACTGCCAGGCAATGATGCATTTAGGACCTCAAAATTAAAAAGTCAATTAATTCAGAAAATGTGACTGCAGAATAAATCTTCTATGTGTGACATTAGGATCCTTCTAGAGCAAAGAGATTTTAGATTCCAGTTGCTCACATCCAAAAGTCCATGCACCTCTCTTTTGGAGATAGATGCTTTTTAGTCCTTCCAATTTGTTAATGTATGCATCTATAGAAAGCAGTTAAAGCATGCAATGAATGTTTTCAAATTATGAATTAGATAAGGGAGAGATGTTAATATTTAGCTGAGATTTAATTTCAATGGTTTCTTAAGCAATTAAATCTCATTAGGAAAACTGTAATTGCTAACAGCTGAAGTAAATTTAGAAAATATAGAAACTGGCTTGATTTTTATTAAAGACAAAGATGGAATGCTATTATTTTCTTCTGCAAGCATGATCTTCATCTGTGAAAATGACTCTTTCGAAGTCAAAGCCCTTTAGTTAGTGCTTCATGCTGGAAGATGATCACATATCAACATGAGCATGGCCAAAATATCAAGGTCGAAAAAAAGTCAAGTCCTGCTACAGTCAATCACATTAAGACAAAGAAAAATGCTTTGGAAAGTCCTCAGCTGCAGAAAAACAACATATCTCCATGATGTCCTATTTTTATATTCATAGATAAGAAAAATTAGTTCATAGGAGGCAGAGGAAGGAAAAGCATTTAGAGATTTATGACATAGAGTATAAAACAGAGCTCAAGAATACAAGAGCCACTGAGGCAGAGTAAGATACCTGAAAAATGAACCATCACAAAGAGGTGTTCAGAGCACTCCAAGCTTCAACATCATGTTGAGACCAAAAAGATAAGAAAGCAGCTCTGTATTACTCAATAGGAACTCACAAGTTACTCTTCCAATGTTAAATCAGGGCAAATTCCCAGACATTTGGAGAGAGAGGGCCACTTGTGCATAGCTGAATACTAAAACAGAGCCCAGGGCCATGTCCTGGCAGCTCAGAAGGGATGCCATGTCAATCTGGGAGCAATGTGCATGAGAATTCTGCTCCTGAGGGTTCCTGGAGGGAAATTTGGAGGCTGTGGAAGGAACAGGTGAGGAATGTGGCTGGAGGAGCATTGGGCTTCAGGGTCACAGAGGTCTGCCACAAGAAGTGAGCTGAGAACCAGGCACATCACATTAGGTAATGCAAGTGGCTGGGATTTAGTCCATAAGTAAGAAGTACCAAGGTGACCAAACCAGATACTGGTGAGATCTCAGAGGCACAAGGAGTTTGTCATCATCTTCACTAAGTGTTGTTTCCATGAACATCTCAGAAGAGGCTCCTTCCAAGGGCCCTGTGCTGCATTTTTCTGTCCCCAGTGCCCCCGAAGAGGGAAGCCTGTGGATGCAGAGCTGGCTCTCCTCAGCCAGCTGGGTAAGTGAGGGGTTTGCTCACACATGTCACAGAGCTGCACACATTTTCCAAAGTGCACAGCACACTTTGACAACCCAAGCCTTCACACAGAGTGGTTTAGTGAGGCTCCTCACACCCTCCTTCTCCAAGCCCCCAGCCCTACATGAAAGCAAAGGCAACATTCGGAACTAAGCTCTCTAAAAACGATTTGGTTCATTGCTACGCTTCAAGAATATGTAAAAAAACCCCATGCTGCTGCCTTGTGACACATCACAGCACGTCCCAGAAGTTGGTTTCAATGTATTTACTCTTCCAGAGCACCACGACTTTCAGTAAACAGGCAACATATGATGCAGTTCTGGTCTCATCACAACATGTTTAACATCTGGGAGAGCTGCCACTTGTGAAGCCAACCAGCGCTCTGCTGACAGACAAAGTGAGCATTATACTGAAATGCCATTCCTCAGCTGTTTGCAGAATTAATTTCCCTGTAGAATTTTCTAATTAGTTGGTTCTTTCCAGCCCGTTCCCCACAGAGGAAGCAGAAAGGAAGCAAAAGGCTAGCACCTGCTCCCAAAGCTCTGGCTGGGAAAAAAAAAATAAATTTAAGGATGACATATACAGTAAGTATTTAGGCACTAGAAAGCCTTCTATCCATGCAGCTGTGGGGATGAAGTAACTCTGTTTGAAAGCTTAATGGAGATTCTTCTGTGGGGAAGAATTTCCAGTGGCTCACATTCCAGACAGTTAACCACATTACCGAAGGGAAGAAAAAGAGATTTGTTCAAGCATTAAAAACTGTCTTTAAAAAAAATACAAAAAAATCCCCCCAATCTGTAGAAAAACACACAGATGAATCCAGACCTGAGGATGATTCGACAGTAGCTTGCTCCATTACCTATGGATTATTTTCAATCCTTTTTTTTTCTATGATTTTGAATTAAAAGCTACTATTATGTTGGAATGCAGTGTATGATAGTATCTTAGAAGGAACAACTAACACAACAGAGTTTGTTCCTAACTGAAGTGAGTCATTAGAACAAAAGAAATAATGTGGTTCTTGCTTTGAATTGACCTGCAGTAGGTCAATGTAAGGAAGAAAGCATGAAAGGTATTCCACGGAAATAAGGAAAAAAACAGTGCAAGAAAGGTAATTTGTATTTTGACTATTCAGCCACTTTGCCAAAACAATTTTTAAATACTGAATGTAAAACAAGATAATGGTCAATTAAAGTTAGAACGCGTGAAGGAAAAAAGGTCCCTTATGGAAATTAGAATAAGCCATTAGCACTTCAATAAACAGTTTTCACTGTGTTTCCACAGTGACTTTACAAAAAGGTAGGCCTTGCAGAGAACGAAGGTTTTAAAATAAGATCACAGATAAAATCCATTTAAATTAATTTGGTGTGGGTTTGAATCAGCACAACGTGTGACGTAGGTCCAGAGATGAGAAAGTTACCCATTAATAAAGCAGATTGTGTATTAAATGTACAGTTTTGTCCAAAGTTCCTGAAAGTTGTTTTTTAATAGATTCAATGTATATGTCTCAGTGCATGTATATATTTGGAGTACGGGTATGTGGGATTGAAAGACTTCTTAATTAATAATTTATTAATTTCATAGAATCAAGACAAGTTACATTTTCATAAACCCATAATTTTCCAGGAGAATTTTAGATAAACAAATACAACAGGGAGTGTAGGTAGGAGGAAAGGTTCTGCTAAAACCAAAGAAAAAGAAGATATAAAGTTGTCTGCCTGAGACAAATGCCCAGACCTTGTTCCCCACTCAGAGACAATTTTGAAAAAGTAACAAAATAAAGAGTGGAATTGTAAGGCAAGGCTATTCCTGCTTTTCACTGGCAATGTTTGGCAATTTTCTCTGGTGTTCTGGTTGTCTGTGGAAAATCCGTGTATGAATGGGTGGCATTCGTCCCTGTCATATGAGGTGGCGCTGACATGTCAATTCCAAATGTCTACAATTATTTCAAGTGGACTTTCCCCCAAAGCCTACATTGGAGAGGATAATTTCAAACTGCAGAAAACCCAAGTAAACAACACTCATTTATTTCCCTCGGAAGTGGTGCAGCTAAATTCATCTGTGGCTTTGAAAATCTCCCATGATACTTTAGCCTGGCCCATTAACTGCACCTGTTCTCTTTTTCTTTCTCTTCTTTTTTGGGGTAGAACAGGGTTGGGAGATGGGGAAGGGGGGAATTATTTCCATTTCAATAGCAAGTGTCTGGCTTTTAAAGGATGCATAGGTTATTTTATTTCATTACTGTCTAGGCATTTCAAATGAAATAACAATCTGAAACCTCTCCTCCCATTAATTCCCCCTTTTGAAATTAAAAGTAAATAGTGGAAGGGAGAGCATGTACTTGGAAAGACAAATGTGTGATAACTCACAGAAAAACATAATGTGACAGAGTACATCTATTTTCCTCAAATAATTATCGAAATTAATCCATTGTATAGGTTTCTTTATATTACACACTTTGACAAAAGTGAAATTTTTCAAAAGGAAAACATACCACTGAAATAATTTTCATTTATTTCTGATTTGAGGGTAGGCTCTCCATAAATAAAAGCATATATAAGCTGCTACAGGCAGCTTCTCTCCAAGACTTCAATCATAGAACTGACTTAAATTTAATTTACCTGTGGCTCATTAAAACAGGCTTTATTTTTTTCCCCTTAAAAAGTAAAGTGACAGTGAATAGCAATTTGAGTGTAAACAAGACATATTGTTCTCAGATTATTACAGGTCATAATATTTGACTTCAGCTAAATCTGAAGTCAAAAAAACAGGCTAAGAAAACCTTGGTTTGCTGGCGGAAATAACCCCTGCTTACTTCCCACACTCTGAAATTAAAAAAATATTAAAACTAAATATAGTTGAGTCAGTGACCTTTAAAAAGTCTGTTGGGGGATTTTATATTGGTTGTGTTCTGTTTTGCTTTTGATTAGTTTTGACTAGTTTATCTGCAAATCTAAAACACATGAAGGACCAAAGTCTGCAGAACGGAAAAGAGCGATTTTCTCTGGGAAGCCTCTAACCTGTCGTAAAGAAGAATTCTGCATTGTGGTGCAGCTGACTCAACCCTTATTTCTCTCAGCTACCAAGAAAAGCAAAAAAAAAAAGACAAGTTCTGTACCTTTCAACAAATTTAGAAAAACATTGGATAAATGGTTGAAGAGGAACGTTTGACTCAAACCCCAGAACACTGATTCAGGAGCCACCTTTTACTGGCTGCCATCTGAATGCCAACATTGATTGGTGTTACCTGTTTTTTAGGACACTGAAACCTCACACAGGCTGAAAGGCAAAGGCAGAAAATGTTGTTTTGCCTTTAGCTTTGACAAATATCTAACAGTGGTGAGCATGGGATGAGAATCCAAAAGTAGTTTACATGGTGTGATGGCAGCTGGGTGACACCTTTCATAAATTTGGTTTTACAGCTCCCTATCCTTCTTCCCCCTCTCAGCTCCCAGACACACAGTGGGTCCTTCTCGCTCCCATTCTTCCTTGCTTGCTCCCTCTTTTGCCAGTCATCCCTTTCCCCACCCAGGTGGCTCATTCTGTTTTCCTTGACTGTGTTCATCTGGGCTAAGATGGCTGAACAACCAGAGTGTGGCCAGATCCCAAATCCCAGTGCAGACTCACTGACCCCCTCTTTCCAGCGCCAGGCACGGCAGCCCCGGAGAGGCTCACAGGTTGCAACTTGTGTATTAATATGGCTTTACTTTCTCATATCCTTATCTCCAACAGCAAATCTGTGTAGCTCAGGATATGAACTGCAAATGAGAGATGAGGAACTGGTTAGTGCTTATCGGGAACGATGGAATTTGAGATTCGGAGATGAAGGGGGGTTGTTAGCTGTGTTTTTTTTAATGAGAGGACTGGCTGATGTTTATCAGTTGACCCCTGCTTCAGGTAACGGAGCAGTTGGCAGGGAGCTATTCATACTGATTAGATTGAGTGAGTTGGTATTCAGATTAACTTCTGATTTCCCTCGTATTATTTGTACAAGCTCTTTATTGCTCTGGATAATTCTCTCCTTCCTGGTTTAGGAAGTGGAACTGACATCCTCCTGGAGCACTGCTACCAGCTGACCAGATTTTATTATGTGAGATGACATGATGGTCCATAGATTAACTCAACCCCTTACTATTTTTCTGTATTAAAATTAAACCTCTGTGACATTTGCTTTGTTCTAACCAAACAGGAGTAATGCACAGCTTTATTATCTAGAAAAGATTTATGGTACTGAGACCGATCAAGATATTACCTTTAATCAACATTTCTGTGACTAAGGCAACTTCTGTCTTCTTTCAGGAATGAATGTTTGTGTAACCTGAGTAGCTTTCAATCCTTGCTTGTTCCGAGAGTCTTCTGCCATGGCTAGAAGGAATTATGATGTTCTTCCCTTCCCTCTCCCCTGCTGAGCTCATTGCAGTATCTTTGAGTTTCTTTCCTCTCTTGTAGCATGTTATGTGTGACTGTTTTGTCTCACTTCCCTGCCACATCAGAACCTTGAAGTGATCCATCAGAGGAGCAGATTCATAACCAGTTTTTCAAAAGTTCCCTTATTGGATTTAGAAGCCTGACCCCAACAGACCTTGCAATCACAGGTGAGAGTCCAGGTAGAACAAGTAATAACTTCACACATAGGTACGTGAGGATTTCCACTACACTAGCAAACACATTTTTATTGACATTTCCTTTTTGAACCTGGCTATCAAACCTCATATTTCACATATCTGTAGAGAAAACCAGGTTTGTTTTCCATGAATGGGCTGCATTATGGGGTTTTTTTAATGTTATTCCATCTCCTACAGGCTTTTATCCAAACCAAGCAACTAAAATAAAACATGGCTTCCTTCCCTGAGATGGTTTCATAGCCCAGCTCTCCAACTTTCTCCCATACCACAAACATGCAACACAATTGTGCAACAACCGAGGAAGGAATGGTGAGATCAGAGCCGTGACTGCAGACATCCTGACATGGGGATCTGGCAGTTATTCAACACAAACACAATTAGAGGACTTACCCTTGCGTGAAGTATTTGCTTTCTTGATAGTCACCAGCCTTAACCTCTAGGAATGCTTACGAATCAGATAGCGTTCCTTGAGGAGGGTGAGCCTTTTCAAGCTCTTCTGTCCTGCTTTAGCCAACACAGATACAAAGAAGAAAGAAATTCCGCCGCGTCCTGCAACTTCTCCCAGGGAAAGCCTTTAAGAAGCACGGAAGAGTTGTGGTCTCAAAATCCCTGCCAAGGATTCAAGAAAAAAATATCACACAGCTCTTGCTCTTCTTCTACTATCAGCAGGAAAAAATAACACCACAAGAGACAAACTTTGAAATTCTCACCAAACATAAAAGTAGAGGGGTTTCCTGAGTCCTGCTCCTTGGCTTTGCATTGCAGTTGGCTTGTCTGGCAGTGGTGATGCCACAGAAGGATGGCAGAGATTTGCATGTTTTGGAAGGCTCACATGTGTGTATCTGCATAGACATTCGTGAGCTGGATACAGGAAAAGGTTCATTATCTTAGAAAATGTAACCTAGTGTAGAGGGGTGTTACACAACTTAAAAACTCTCAAGTGTGACAACACAAATATTTCAGTAGAATAATTCCAATCAGTGTAAATCCTGGGATTTTCACAGAGTAACAGTGTCTTTAAAATGGCAATAGGAGCTGACCTCTAATAAAACATCTGCTGGCAAATTGGTCAAATGTCAGCACAGCAGTTCCAAAACGCCCAGCAATTTAAATTATTCTCATCTCAAACTGCATTAGTGACACACGAGAACTGGACCAAAGGAGGGCCCAGTGGTCAAACCCCAGGAGTGTAACACAGCACTGCAGAGGGGAAGATCAGTGGGATTTCCAGATGAAGCAATGTGACATGACACGATTACCACAGCTACTGCAAAATACACAGAGGCTTAACTGGTATAACATACAACAAAATCATAATAAAAGAAAGTGGTAAAGATAACTCCAACCCAGAAACACTGAAGTGAGCTGAGAGATTCTGACCTGTGTGACCTGCCTGAGCAAACCCACCACCTCCCTGCAGGACCATTTATCCAACACCAACTTTAAAACTCGATCCTGAAGCAGCACCCCAGCAGCTGTAGGAGGAACAGTTGTTCAGTGTTGTGCCTTCCCAAGTGACCAGATGCACTTTTCCATTGTTAGCAGCTTCCACAAATATCAACAACCTGAAAAACAGTGGAGACTGCCAAAATATCAGATATCTGAATCCAGTCAGAACAAGACACTCCCAAAGATATTTCCAACACTATGAAATTCACACACACACACACACACACACACACATACACGCCTCCCCAGATATCCAGGGGAAAAATTTTGCATGGGACCAAAGGAGAAATAACAATAATGCCTCAGTCAGATATCAATGGTCATAGAGTTCCAAGCTAAGGAGTTGATTTAGGCTGTTTTGGTACCCACAAAACAACCTGGCCATGCTCAAGGGATAGACTACCCAAGCATGGTATTAAACTACTGTTAGTAAAGCAGTTGCATCAAGAGAGCAAATAAAGCAGCTAAAACACATTTCTGGAGTAGCACTGTTGACATCTGCAGACCCACCCAAGCCAGGCATTCATCCCAAAATAAAAAATTGGCAACCAGCTATGAATGGTTGCTGGTCTTGACTTTTTGTAACTCCACTAAAGAAGCACAATATAAATCTGCAATCCTGTATCCGGACAAAAATTGGAATACATCAAGAAAATGCTTGCAGTCATTCCAGATGAAAAAAAAAAAAAAAAGGGAAAAAAAGAGAGACATTTCAAAATCTAACAGGGCTTATAAACAAGGATGTTACTTTCCCCTTTCTTATCCAGAACCACCCTTAATTGAAAGGATCAGTATCTAAAGCAACTGGTGCTGCCCTGCACATGAATCCCCTTTGCACCTCTTCCTTCTTATTTCTTCAGTGGTTTTATTAACATTAGTGACTTATCTAAGTATTAGAATGCTTGGCTGCTTGGAAGCTTATCAACAGCAAATTTTATGGGCTGTTTAGTGATGGAAACAGGAGGAGATGGAGCTCTCCCCCCCAGCTACCTCGATATGGAAGTCTTCAAGAAGCCATGGAATGCGCTCTCTGGTATTTTTGGTATCTTTAAAGTGTCAAGAGTGCAGAATTTCTCTTGTCAGTTGTCACAGTGTGACTCACAATTAGAGACATCTGCTCTGCATTCACCTCCCCAGGGGCACCGCTCGTTTTTCACCAGCTTCCTGTTGTTGACAGCACAGTTCCTCCCTGTATCACTCTCCACCAGCACCCATACTCCTCACAGACATTGCAGCAGGCTTAAGCAGATTTCCCTTGGGAAAGCCTTTCCCTTGTTTTGCTAGCAATTGGAAAGAATATAGAATGTTGAGAATGCTCTGAAGGCAGAGGCTGTGCTTCTAAAGGAACTGAACAAATTCCATTCTGCTTTTCTTTTGTTTGTTTGTTTGTTTGTTTTTTCAGGAGGACCCTATTGTTTTTAGATCTCTTTCAAAAATCTCCACATTTTCTCTACATCAAATTTCTGTTTCAAGCAAGAGAGCAGCTTGAAAAATAAGACCTTATTCGTGCTGAGTCCTTGTCAATAATTGGTGTAAATGGGTGACTAATACTGCCAAAATATTATTCAATTAATTTTTCAAATACTAGAAGTAATTTCAAATATTAAATTTCAGATGAGGAACACACTGCCTCCCCTTCCTACTCCACCCAATTTAAAAAAAAGAGTTGTGCTGCAGGTTTTTCACACCAAATCCTTAAGCTGAGGTAGACTAACTATCCTAAGCACAGATTTGTGCTTTCTACCTGGTTAATGTCTGGACAATGCAGAAATACCAAATACCACCTAGGCTGGGAATGGCTGCCTGAAGCACAGATCTGCTGTGTGTTCCACCTGTTTTGCCCCTGTCGACTGGAAATTTTATTTCTTAGGTGCTGACCAGTAGTAACAGATTTGAGATTCTACTTTCCCCAGGAACCCAGCTTTCTTGAAAAGGATGTCCAGTCCTGCAGGAGCATATGATCTTAGGTATTGTCAGTTACTGTTGTCCTTCTTCCTTGGTCTTGGTCCAGTGCTTCCCTGTTATGTCCCCTGCAACAAGGAGCAGCCAAACAGAAAATTCAAATATCCAACACAATATAAAAGGCATCTTCCACAAAGATTATTAATTTTATGACACATTTTTCTGAGCCTTTAGGGCAACTCTTGCGCCCAGTTCCTGACCTGACACTGGTGAAAATCACTAATGTCTCTGGTGCTCCCATACTCCAAATAAACTGGTAAATTGTCTGGGTTTGTTCCACATCCTACCAGTAAATGTTGCATAATTTTTTTTGTGTGTGATTTGCTGGGACTTTTCCAGAACCTGTGTTTGACTTCTCCTGGGAACAGACTCTTCCTTATATATTTACTCACAGTCTTCCAAGCACAAGTTTAGCAGACTCCAGATCATGATGCATCTGCACTCATTCAGTCACAACACATCAATGTGATGCACAGAAGCTTTTCATTTGCCTTCTAAATCAGGACAGTGTAACAGCTGAAATATTTCTCACTGACCCTGGTCTTCAACACAAAACTAAACTTCTCTTTGCTATTTCAACATTCACTCCACCAGGATTATATTTAAGGTCAACACAATTTGGGCCCTAGACCCAGACTGCTTAAATGATTCAAAAAATTATGAAGCCACGCCAGTTAAATCAAGAAAATATGTTCTAGAAAAGATAAAACACATCCTCTGTTTAAAAACACATTTCCAAAAAGCAGCTCTAAACTCATAAAACTGTTATGAAATCCACAGTTCCTCCAAACATGAGGAGAGCTCTCTGCAAGATAGAATATTAACTCATATTTGTTGGGTAATCTAGTAAACCCAGATGGGGAGAAATTGGAAAAGGAAAAATGGATTCTTTCAGTGTTGCCTCAGATTGTTCATCTATTACACAGCCCAGGCACGTATCTGCATTGAAGGTTTTCAGTGTTCCACAGCTGGATTCTCATTTAAAACCTGCCTTTACTGAAGGCATGAAAACCTAGATTCAAAATAGTCTCTATAGGATCAGTTGTGGAGCTGCCACTAAAAAGGCCTTAAAATGCATTTTACACTCAATAATTATTGTTCCAGTAGCTGGTAGTAAATTATTTTTACAGATTACGAACCCACTGGCTTGGCCACCTATTAACCACAATCTTCTTGGACTGAAGGGCTCCTTCTGATAACTGTTAAGTTGCTCTAAAAAGTAAATGCAAGTCAAGGTTGGGTATTTTCTATTTACAAGGTTTGGAGAACTGGATATGACAGTGTGCTCATCACACTTCATTCCTTTGATCTGTGTTTCTGTTTCCTGTTTATTCTACCTGTAGCTTCAATCCTTTTTTTAACAGTAGTGTGCCAGCATTTTAATGATGGAACCATAAGCAAAGCTACACTGCTAAATAGCTTATTCTTAGCAAATAAATCTATATGTTTGCACCTCAGGTCATACCTGCCAGAACTCGCATGTTTTAAAAAGGAGCATCCAGCCATAAAGACTAAGATGTACTTTGAAATGAGATTTATACGAAATTTAGTGGAAATGCACTCAATGCTTTGCAGAAGAACAAACTGGAAGCAAGGTAGACTGAAAAATCAAAATTATAATTCTTTTCAAGCAAAACTGTTTAATGTATAAAAATTACCTCAGGCATTACACTCACATACAGACCTGAGGCCTTGCATTTTAATTATTAATTTCATAAAAGATCCCCAGAGAAAGGTCATGAGAGCTGCTCCAATCCATGGGCAGTTAAGCAGGAGAATGCATCGGTGCCCTTTAGCCTTTGAGTGTGCTGCAGGACAGGGGGGTTTGGTGCTAAACGACAAATTGAGTTAGAAATATTTAAGTCATAAACCATAGTAAATCTTTTAGCACTTGAAACACCATGAGACACTCCAAGCTGAGAGCAAATGAAGTGTTAGTCTATTCATGTTTAAAAATGCACAGAGGCTGTGTTTACTGAATTATCCATTTCTTAACTATGTCTCCTTTAGGAAGCTGACATCCAACAGTTTCCCACGAAAAGAAACCATTTATGAAAAGTGCCTCTATCATGGTTTAAGAAAAGAAAATAATATGTATCTCTCTGAGAGCAAAATTATGTAGGTTGCAAAGTCAAGGACAGCTAAATTAGGAAGTGGCAGATTTATGTGTGCCTGCATAACCTCTACTTGGCCCTCTT